TCTAGCACAAATAGGCTCTAGACTCAAGTTGCTACTCTAGTACAAATAATAAACAATAATAGTGCCTGACCCATGTGATCATCTTTGTGGTTTTCTTAGGCTTCCTTTCAGTAGAGTCAAAACAATTATAGCCATTCTTGCAGATGTGTGCACTATTTCTACGCTATTGCATTTCTGGGTTCTTTCCTTTCCTGTCTCTAATTGCAATATAATGCATCAGTAAAACTCCCATTCGTATTTAGTGTTGTCCTTCAAATTGAAGGCCAAATCTTGGACTGATCTTACATAGGGATAAGGCACATCCTTTTTCCTGTTTTTGTTCCAGCTTTTCACTAGCTTGAGTGATCCTGAGGACTATAGTATAGTAGCTGGACCTCTAGAACTGTGCTCTGGCACAAGGAACTTATGCAAATCGGATCACTAGCCATCCATGGACTTTAGTCCATCTCTCCCTCTGGGCAAAGACCACCGAATTAATTGCAGGTTTAAAGCTGCATTAATCCTCTCAGAAAGGTGAGTTAGGGAATGGCAGGTTGAGGGGTGAAGATGGGTCCCTAAGAATTTTCCAAAACTAGAAAACACTTTTCTAGATGTCCTAGAGACTTTGATGGATGTCATCATTGTCATGCCTCCTGTCAGCTCTGTGTTCTTGGGGAACCAGGATTCAGTATCCAGCCTGTCTGAGTCACAAAGGACGCCCCCGCCTCCGCTTGAACCAAAACTGATCAGAAAAAAGACCTACAAAAAGCAATGAAAAGGCAGTGGGAGACACACCTAAACCCCTCAGGACAAGTGTGACAGGATTAAGGCAACTTGCTTAGCCTCATTTGCATCGAAGATGGGACGTGGAGGCATCTCCTTTAGCATATAAAATGGAGAACAGAGATTCCAAGCCAAGAACCACACTGAACTCTGGGACCAGAAAAGCAGGGAAGCACTACTTGATGGGGGAATCTCTGCTCAAGATGTTAATGAACCCACATCTGCACACACCCAGCTCCATAGTTATCAGACCAATTCTAGTAAAATATCCTTTATTGGTATCCAAAATACTGAAGCTGCCTAATTGCATTGTGAGCTCCGAAGGAACACTGCCCATAGGCAGGAATAATCAGTTCCTATTGTCTGGCCTGAACAAAACAACTTTGGTATACTCCCTTGAGCCATCAGTTTACCCATAAACAAATCTAGTGTCCTCCCTTGAACCATTGTTGTTTCCCTACAAAAAGCCCTTACCCACACTCAAGTAAGTGTTCTGATGCCTGGATCCAAAATCTGCATCAGTTCTATTGGGACTTCATCTTCTCCTGACTGATCGTGCTCAGGGCTCTGCCTGTCTCCAGCACTCCGGACCCTCAGCTACCACCATCACCTGGGAACCCTGACTGGTTCAAGCTTCACAGAGTGGTAAGAATCCAACTCTCTCTTTCTCTCTAGGTATAACTTTCTAACCCTGAGTTGTGTGATCAGGTATAGTTTTCTAAACCTGACTTTTGTAATCAAATTTAAGCTAGATTTAATATTGTAACTCTTTTTTGTTTGTATCTCCTTTTATGGTTATTACCTGGCAATAAATAAGTCTTATGGTTAAGCCGGTTGCTTCCCTCCCTCCCTTTCTCTTATGTTTTTGGCTTCCCCATTTGCTCTGCAGCAATGCTCCTGTTACCTGTACCGCCCAAAAATCCTGTGGGGTTTGCTCATCAAGTGGGTTACGACCAGAACAATTGTAACGTGAAAGTGGGGATCAGGACGTGCTGAACCTGTAGCATAGGAGGGTGGCAGCTTGGAGGTGCTGCTCAACGCAGCCTGCTCACGCATACTCTATTCTGGTGCAGTGCCCATGGCATATGAGGGTGTCAGCTGGGAAGTGCTATTTGACCCAGCCTGCTGAGTGCAAGGGCATATAAGGGTGTCAGCTTGGGAGTGCTGATTGACCCGGTCTGCTCAGACATGCTCTGTTAGAGTGTGTGTGTGTGTTCATTTGATTCTGAGGCTGGAGGAACCCAGCCCTGGAGAACCTAGGTCCTGCAGGATAGCTCCATTGGGAGGAGAACTTGCAGAAGGGAGAAGTAGAGCTCCGTATGAAAACACAAGTGACACAAGCGGTACATTGATAGAATTACAGATTTCCTCCCCCTCCCCCGGAAGAATAACCCTAATAAGTGAGTACCCCCAAAGTAATGGGCAAATCTGGTAACGCTCCCCCGTGATCAATGTTCTTCCTCATATTTCTTTTCTCATGTTTTACTTAAATGCAATCCTGAGGGCCATGTAAGGGAAGAAGACTATTCACATATCTGTAGCATCCACCGAGCAGTGGGAGGGGTTTGGCAGCACATGGCTACACCTGAGAAAAGTGCCTCTCTTAGGATTTGATCAAATATTCCAGTCTGCAGTCAGAAAAGACTCCACATGTCTCCACTGAGAGGGATGGAATTTGCCCCTTAGAATACGGACCTTCTAAGATGACATGACAACCATGTTTGGATGGAGACATAATTATCTCAAGTGACTGCTCCTATAACACAAAGCAAACTAAACAAAATAAAGGAAGTTTATAGTGTTTCCATATTTGCTTTTAAAAGACATAACTTCCACCTGTATCCCTATCAATGATTTTTCCTTAAGTACAGACACTAATTTGCTACTGTTGTGTTGAGTGCTGCACTTCTACTACTGATTATTCTTATTTATTCAGGGGGAAAAAAATCTTTGAAGTATATGCATAATATTCTATGTGCGCCATATAAAGGATATGGAAAAAAAAAGAAAGGTAGTGAGGGGAAAAATAGATGTTCTATTTGCATATTTTAATTAGCAAAACGTTTTCTACCACACTGGGCTTCATTTCATTTCTGTGTATAAACAGAACTACAAATAAAACTGATAACATAAATATATGTTTTAGTGCTGAATATTAAATTAGTTAAAAGGTTTGATGTAAAGTATTAATTTTTCATATACTATCATTCACCTTTGTTGAATATATTATCATATCGGACAAGCAATATTTTTAATCCTTGGAAACAGTGCAAACTACTAGCATCATTTGTTCAATAAAAATACACTGTACTCCTTCCTTATTGCTTGTATTGTTAAAGGCTTCTCTTAATCTGTTATGAGTGGATTTTAGTAAAAAAGAAAAGAAAATGACGTCTTTAAAATATAAGAATTTGATTGTGTGCTATTGTTGCCTGCTAACAATGAGCTAAAGAGATTAATGGATCATAGATTTGGCAAACAGCCACATTTCCTCCTGTTCAATACATTTAACAACATAATTTTGTTTAACTTTTATCATTGAAGGAGTTGTTGGTAAATAGAAGTTGGATTTTTATACAGGTTTTTCCCCCAGAAATCCTGCAGCTTTTTCAGTCATTCATGGTGAACATTTGAGTCCCATAGTTTGATGGGTGAGGAATGAAAAATAGCAGGCTCCTGATTCACTTGTGCGCAGCGCCTTGTGTAGTCTTACACTTTGGTGTAAAGTGGATATAAATTATTATAAATCTGAATGGTAGCAGGCTCTTTTGTTGTTTATCATTCTTCATACTCTGGGACTTATGTCACTATGAATAGCAAATATATATGCATTGTAGCAGATTGGTAGCATTTTACACCCGCTTTGTACTAAGAAAAGGAGTAGTTGTGGCACCTTAGAGACTAACCAATTTATTTGAGCATAAGCGCTGTAGCTCACGAAAGCTCATGCTCAAATAAATTGGTTAGTCGCTAAGGTGCCACAAGTACTCCTTTTCTTTTTGCGAATACAGACTAACAGGGCTGCTACTCTGAAACCTGCCACTTTGTACTGGTGCAAATAACTATACAAGTAAAGGCCCAAGAAGAATCAGGCCCTCAGTTGGTATTTTCTGCTACTTGAGATACTTTGGGCCCAATCCTTTTCTCAGTGGAGTGATTGGCCACCAGCCTGCTCACATATGTATGAACCAGTTCATACCTTCATGAGACCACTTTCCAACTTCTCATTTGCAATTATCCAGTTTACCCTAGTTCCCTTCATCTTCCCTCAATGACGAAAAACCAAAAGGTATACCTTCAGAGACAATAGTTGAAACTCCTAAATGCTGTAGTAGTTTAAAAAAAAAAAAAAAAAAAGCTCTGTACTTCCATCCCAAACTCGCATTCAAAAGCCCCCCCCCCCCTTCCCAATCTCAAGGGTAGGACAGTTTTAGAGCAGATCATCTGGAGAAAACTCCAGTTAGACAAGGTATAGCTGCCTCTCTTCAGCCTGGTATGCCCGCTGGGGAACACTAGTGAGACTCCATGATAGGACCGGCAGCAGCAGTCGAGCTTAAAATGCAAATCAACAAGGAAACAACTTGACGGTGGCTATTTTTCCCTCTCCTGCGAACGGGGGTGTCTGGGGTTTTAAACCATTCCCCCTATTTTATTTTAAAATATTTTAATGGGGCAGGAAGCAAACCATGGCACCTAACTCCTGAGCCCATCATTCCGTTTGGGAAGAAGGTGAGCTGAGGGTGGGCGGTGCAGGCATCAAATCAGGTATGGCAAAGCTGTCTCGGCGATGCTGCCGCTTCCTTACGCTGCAGTGGAAATATCCGGCAACAGTTCACAGAAGCAAGCAGCAGCGCCCCGGCCGCTCCTTCCCCGCCTGCCGAGCCGCGCTCCCCTCCCCGCTCGGGTCCCCTAGGGCATGCTTGCACCCTCCCCGGGGTGCCCAGTGCGTGGCTGAGGCAGGCCCGGGCCCCTCGGAGCAGCGGCCGGGTCGCGCCTGTGTGTCTGCGCGGGGGCCACCCGCGCTGCGCTTCCCAGCCTGCGCGGCTGTGACCTCCGGGGGGCGGGGGCTGCTCCGCGCGCCGGGCCCAGAGACTCGCGCGCCCAGCTGGGCACATCCACAGGCGGCGGCAGCTGCGGGGCGCCCCTCACTGGCCGGGGGGAGGGGGAGGTAGAGGGGGCGCTGCGGGAGAGCCGCCGGGTCTCCCTCACAGCCACGGAGGCTGGACCTCCTCTGCCACGCCGGCCTCCCGCGGCAGCCGGGGAAGGCAGGGGAGTGGGGCTCTTCAGCCGGGGGAGCGAGCGAGAGAGTTTGTGTGAGACTGGGGGCTGCATCTCCTGCGGCTGCTGCCGCCGCTCCCGGGCACAGGGGACGGGCAGTGCAGGGACGGGGGCTGCTGCCGCCGCTGTGCCCGCGCCGCGGGCGCGCGCCCTGCTGCACCTGGCCCCAGCCTCTCCTGGGGTGTGCAGAAAACGCGTCCTGAACTCCGCGACTCTCCCCGCGCCCCCGCCCCGTCTCCAGCAGTGCGTGTGAGTGTCTCTCTCCCGCACGCCGCAGATCCACTCGCTCCCGGGGTCTCCCGCGCGGGGCTGAGCCCTGGCTGCTGAACGGCGAAACCCGACCCGCTGCCCCCCGCCGGCTTCTCAGGGTGCCCGGGTAAGTGGTGGTGACGAGCAGGAAGCCTGCCCCTGCCAGCATCTGCTGGGCTAGCGCTCGCGGTGCCCGGGCTTACCGCACGCGCGGCCAGGCGGGGGGCGAGAGGAAGCGGCTGAGGTGATGCTGAGGTGAAGCTTTAGAGAAGGACTTTTCCGCGGCTGGGCTGGATCTCTCGGACATCGCGCCGGGTACCGCAGGAGGGTTCTCCTGTGTGTTGCTGGGGCTCCTGCTGTGTGGGGGTTGTGCATGTCTTTGGGGGACACTTTGGGGGTTCTGTGGGCGTGCTACCTGCCGCACCACGGTGCGTGCCGTGTGGGGGCTTCCCTGTCTTGTTCTGGGCACAGTGGGGGCATTGTGAGAGTTGGCCGGGGTGCAGTTTTTCGGAGGGGTTGGTTCTCTGCATTGCTCTGGTACAGTTGTAGGGGGTCTGCGTTGCTGCAGACTGTGTGCCTTGCTCTGGGTACAGTTGTGGGATTGGTGCCGTGCACTGCTGAAGGGTTTCTGTGCATTGCTCTGCTGGGTACCATTGGTTCTGTGCCTTACTGGGGATAAGGCTGGAGCTGGGCACGGGGCTCTGTATTGCCGAGGGCAGGTTGGAGTTGCTGTAAGGAATTAGCCCATATCTGGCTGCCAGAGGCTTGTGGTTTATACTGTTACTGTTAGAGTGACCCCTATATTAGTAGTGATGCGATTCAGAGCTGTAGAAGGGGAGTGAGAGGGTCTGTTCTCCCGCCAGCCAATGTAACCTGCGGTGGGAGAGGCTCCGCTCCTGGGGTAGGTGGCATCGCGCCTCCTGTCGCCTGGGTCCCAGCGTGGGTCTTCCCCACTCCCACCACAGGCAATTCAGCCCTTACCCAAGGAAGCCGCCTATGGAGTTCATCAACTACTATCCTTTCTTCCTGCCAGCCCATATCTCTCCATTATGTGCTTCGTAGCGGGTTCTGGCTGCAAAATATTGTTCCCGTAAGGGAGCTTTAATATTTGCAAAATGGTTGATATCAAATTAGTGCCTGGCTGCACCCAACTAGAGGTTTGTGCCTGGTGACTCCTCTCAGATCGCTGGTACCTCCGGCTGTCAGATGTCAGACTCTCTAGAGCAAGGGGGCTGTTTGTTCCTTCCCACGAGTCAGGCAAAGCAGTGGGAAACAGATAAAGCTGGTGATTGCTGGAGACTTTTAAATAGATTTTTGCTACACGATTTCAATATTTCTCCTGGTTTTAGAAGCAGCACCACGAGGAGCATATCTTGTCTCCGTTTATTTGAAATACTGGGTCTGATCTTGCTCCCATTCAAGTCAATGGCAAAACTCCCATTGACTTCAGTGAAAGAAGGGTAGGGCTCGTGCTGAATACTGTTCAAAGGAAAAGAATAAGAGAGCATGCTGAAAGAGGTACAGTAGCAGAGATTAGTGAAAGAAGTTCATTCTAAGAAGATAAGAATAGCTGTTACCAAAGGGATGTTTAGCTGGATTGTGTCAGAATTATCTTGCAGATTTCCATTCGGACATAGAAGAAAAATCTAAATGATTGTCTTCTCTTCAAATGTTTGCTAACAAAAGGGAGACTGAGTCACTTTATACACAGACTTCCACAAAATATCCAGGGGGTCAGAATGTTCTGTTTTTTTGTTTTTTTGTTTCTAGTGCTCTACTTTCCCCTTCCCCTGCCCCTCCCCTACTATAAAGTTGTTAACCAGAGAGGGGCCGGATCCAAAGCCCACTTAGCTCAGTGCAAAGTCTCCCATTGACTTCAATAGCCTATGGATCAGACCCTAAGAGTAAGCAGTGGGAACAGGAGATTAACAAGAGAAATGTAATATCCACAAGGAAAGGTGTTGCATAATATTCAGTTCTTGAACAGTTCCCCCTTCTCCTTGGGGGAACGTAGTACATGTTGTATACTTTTTATTTCTTCTTCCATTTTTAAGAACTCCTGAATAACATATACACAAACAAGAATGCATCTTAATAATTAAAATGAACATGATATAGATTACAAAGCATATTTTATGCAAAAAAGGAGTAGATGGAAGTTTTAGTTCATAGAATGTTGTCTGCATAGTGGAGTATCAGGGTTAGAAGCAGTTCAATATAGTAATGGGACCCCAAATCTTTAATAAACCTTTAAGAAAAAAACCCTCTCATTTGCATATCCTGACCACTTTTTAATCCTCTTCACCTACTCTAAAATGATAGAATGTTATTTGTACTTTATAGATCTATTTGTCAATTCTCTTGTGGAAGCTCTATATATAGTGATCTTATTAACTTTTCTACAAAATGTTAAAAAGAACTCCAAAACACTTAATATCCTTATACAAATATCTAACAACTGTCAGGGTCATTGCCAGTAATCCAAGATGCCTACAGATATTTAATTGTTAGAAATAGGATGCTTCATAGCAAAGAATAACCTTTCCATATTTTCTTATAGTTACCCTTTTAATAAAAAAGTCAAGTTCATATATGCTGTATATACAATTCAAGGTACTGGACCTAGCAATCAGCTTTTTTCTATGCTTTCAGCAGAATTGCTATTAAATTGAATGTATTTATTATGTATTATATTATGTATTATATTTATATTTATTTGTGGACAGATGTTCCTATTAGAGCTGGGGGGGGGGGAGGGCAAGGCTTTAATGTAGATAAATGCTTTTCTTTTTGTCACTTTCTCTTTTCTCTTACAACCTTCACATTATGGGGAGGAGGCTCAGACTTAAATGTCAGACTGCAGTTTTTATCCCTAACTTTACTGTAATATCCTGAATTTAAATTGTTTTAAATCAGGTACTATATATTTGGGGCTCAGTTAGACAGAATTTTGTTGAGGTTTTTCTTGTCTTATCTGGTAGTTACTGACAGTCATTGCAATAAGTTATTTTTACTATTTTACTTTTATTTAGATAATGAATATTTTTCCATATTAAAAACTTTGGCCTGATTCTCTCCCCCCCCCCCCCCCCCCCCCCCCCAAGCTGCTAAGCAACTGCAGGTCCTGTTGATTTCATCTGGAGTTGTGGATATTCCACAACTCTGAAAACAAGGATATTTATTTGCATAAATCTTAGCATAACCCCTGGTAGGCCATCAGCTATGCTGTGTTATACACCTTTTTAGATTTTGTCCCAATGACTGCTCACATATACATTAAGAAATCCAAGTGATACTTCAAACATTTGTGTATGGTTTCTGAAATTAGAAAGGTGTATACTCATTGTTGGTATTTTAGGTTTATCCATAAATGAAGCGTGTATGTGATTTTTAGGGGGATTTTTTGGGGCAGGGGTTCCTAGATCAGAGGTTGTAGGGAGTGGGAAAGGAAATTAGCAAATGAAGAATCTACATTTGAACCTCCTTTAGTCACTTTTAACCTTCTTGTCAGTATAATCTGCTGAGGAAAAAGTGTTGCTTGATCCAGATATTACTCTTGTCTAAATTTTTCATTTAGGCTTCTGAAAATGTACTATAAAGTATGTTCCTTTGAAACATATTTATAAAGTCTTGTAATCTTCCAGTTTGTTTATCATATGACTGATACTGACAGATTACTGAGCTCATATAATTAGATTGTAAACATTCTTACCAGGATTCCAGCAAAAAGACCCTTGACTTTCTTCTGACTTCTTGTCATGTTTATATTTTAAAATCAATTGTATGGTGTCATATCCTAATTTGTAGAGCAAATTCTTAGAAATTGAAGAATATTGTTCTTAACTCATAACCCATCAATTTAAGAACAAAAACATTCATGTAGCTCAAATCCATCAAAATATTGTATTCAGGTTATGCATTCTACGTATGGAATATGACATGTAAAACAGATGGTATGTAAAATTATGCATACCATGGCTGGAGAACCACAATATCTAAATTCAGTGCAACAGAACAAGGAAAGACTGTCATATATAACTTGATGTTTTAGTGGCTTGTGTGTACTGGCTTAGCTTTTATTACTGGTTTAATTCATGAATTTTGTTTTCCTTTGTTTTAATCATGACTTTCTAGAGAAAACAATCTCCCTTAGAAATGCATGAGTTTACCACACAATAGAGTCTAGTGGCTAAATAACATGAAAACATACATCAAGGGAAACACTGTTATATCAACTTTGGTCCAAAATGTAAATTATGTAAAGGCAAGCTTTCACAAAATTCAAAATTAATAGAAACACTCTTGTGTATTTAAACAACAACAACAGCAACATTTTTTTAACCAAATAAACTGCCCCTGCAATTTTGCAACGCAGATAATGTTTACTTGGAATTTTGTTACTCATCCATACTTTGTTAGGTAAACAGTATCTGGCAATGGATGACTTTAATGAAGTCATTTTGGTCTGTGTAAATACTGTGCTAGTACCAAATCCTAGCTTTCTTTCTCAGGCATTGGGAGTTTTGCTTCAGTAAAGACTGCAGGATTTGGTGCTGAATCAAGAGTTTGTAACTATGCAAAGTAGTGCGCATTTTAAAATCAAATAAAATGGTTATAGCAGAAGGACTCACGTTCAGAAAAACACTAAGCCCATACATATCTTTAAGCATGTACTTAAATCCCATTGAAGTCATTGGAACTTAGGCATGTGCTTAATAGCTTTGCTGGATAGCGATGTTTTCCTGAAGCAGGGCCACAAATATTGACAGTGGTTGGGCTATACTATGTAATGACTGCTTGACAAATTTTATTAACTTTTTTGGGGGGGGTGGGGTGGGGTGGGAAGCACCTTAAAGAAATTCTACTTTATTTTTTTAAGTTGTAAATCTTTTTTTAAAATGTTCAAATGCATTTTTAATTACATAAAAACCATATAGTGATTCTGTAGGGCTGAGACATCTTATGCTCAGACCCAAGTGAATTTTCAAAGATGAAGTATGAAAGAACAAACTTTATAATTAAAGTAACACACGATGAACTCTAGTAATACTAACAGACACCAATATAACATAATACAAAACAATCTTGTCTAAAGCTTATAAGGTTCAGCTATTATTGAATAGGTAA